ATTGCATCTGGACGTTCCTGAACCATGCCGAAACGCGACTTCTACACCGCGAATCAACGTAACTGTTGCGCCTTCGTAGTTCTGAATCCGTCCCACACTCCATTCTTGGTGCGTTGGTCATGAGAATCCGTGAAGCTCTTGTAATTTTTGAAAACGAATGTGCGCGGCGCTAAGGCGACTAAGGCGAGCGCCGCATGTTGAAAAGGAACAACCCTCAATCCGTGAAGCTCTTGCAAGGTTTTAAAACGAATGTGCGCGGCGCGCAAGCGAGAACCACATTTTGAAAACGACCCGCCCTCCATCTGTGAACGTGTTATCAACATTTAAGCTTCAGGGTCATACATGGTGAGGAAGTCTCAGGCGAAACGCCCGGCCCGCCCTAAAAACTGGCCTCGGGGTGCGACAGGGGGAAATTATTTATAAGGAGCAGGAATGGGGGACGAGGAGGAAGAGGAGGAGGAGGAGGAGGAGGAGGAGAAGAGGAGGAGGAGGGGCGCCGGACCCGATGCAAACCTGGGCGGTCTGCGCGTTTTCAATAGGCATCCTTCCGTGGAAGCCGAGCGAAACCGAAAACGGATCAGAAAACCAAGAAACCATAAAAACCCCCAAACCCAAACAACCCAAACAACCAAACTTTCGAATATAATCTGGCGGTCGACCACGGAATTATATCTGACAGTTTTTTGTTGGAAAGCCTCACACTCGGAATCCTCTGGAAAGCACCACAAAGGGATTGTATAGGAACGCCTCACAACAGGAATCCCTTGGAAAACGCCACAAAGGGATTCCATTGGAAAGCCTCACAGCAGGAATCTTCTGGAAAACACCACAAAAGGATTCTATGGGAAAACCTCACAATCGGAATCCTCTGGGAATCGCCACAAAGGAATTCTTTTTGAAAGCCTCACAGCAGGAATCCTGTGGAAAGCACAACGAGGGGATTGTATTGGAAAGTCTCACACCAGGAATCCTTTGGAAAGCGCCACAAAAAGGAATTCTTTTGGAAAGCCTCACAGTCGGAATCCTGTGGAAAACGCCACAAGGGGATTCTATGGGAAAGCCTCACAATCGGAGTCCGTTGGAAAGCGCCATAAAGGGATTCTATTGAAAAGCCTCACGCCCGGAATCCTTTGGAAAACGTCATAAAGGGATTCCACTGGAAAGCCTCACCATCGGAATCCTTCGGAAAGCACAACGAAGGGGTTCTATTGGAACGCCTCACAACAGGAATCCGTTGGAAAACGCCACAAAGGGATTCCATTGGAAAACCTAACATTCGGAATCCTTTGGGAAGCACCACGAAGGGATACTATTGGAAAGCCTCACAGCAGGAATCCGGAGGAAAGCACAGCGGGGGGATTGTATAGGAAAGCTTCACAACAGGAATCGGCTGGAAAGCGCCACGAAGGAATTCTATGGGAAAGCCTCACAACAGGAATCCTCTTGAAGACACCACAAAGGGATTGTATTGGAAAGCGTCACAACAGGACTCTTTTGGAAATCGCAACAAAGGGATTCTATTGGAAAGCCTCACAGAAAAAATCCTTTGGAAAACGTCATACGGGGATTCTATTGGAAAGCCTCACGGCAGGAATCATCTTTTTTCGAAATCGCCACGAAAGGATTCCACCAGAAAGCATCACACTCGGAATCCTTTGGGAAGCACCACAAAAAGGAATTCTATTGGAAAACCTCACAGCAGGAATCCTTTGGAACGCGCCACAAGAAGGATTCTACTGGAACGCCTCACAGTAGGAATCCTTTGGACAACGCCACAAAAAAATTCCATTGGAAAGCATCACAATCGGAATCTTTTGGAAAGCGCAACAAAGGGATTCATTGGAAAACCTCACAGCAGGAATCCTCTGGAAAGCGCCACGCAGAGATTCTATTTGGAAAGCCTAGCAACAAGAATCGCCACGAAAGGATCCCACCAGAAAGCATCACACTCGGAATCCTTTGGAAAGCGCAACAAAGGGATTGCATTGGAAAGCCTGACAACAGGACACCTTTGGAAATCGCAACATGAAGGATTCCATTGGAAAGCCTCACATTCGGAATCCTTTGGAGAACGCAGCAAAAGGATCCCATGGGAAAGCATCACAATCGGAATCTTTTGGAAAACGCTACAAACGGTTCCATGGGAAAGCCTGACAGCAGGAATCCTCTGGAAAGCGCCGCAAAAGGGATTCTATGGGAAAACCTCACAACAGGAATCCTTTGGGAAGCGCAGCAAAAGGATTCTATTGGAAAGCCTCGCAGCAGGGATCCTGTGCAAAGCACAACGAAGGAATTCGATTGGAAAGCCGCACGGCAGCAATCCATTGAAAAGCGCCACAAAGATTCCATCGTACAGCCTCACAGCAGGGGTCCTATGGAAAGCACCACAAAGGGATTCTGTTGGAACGCCTCACAACAGGAATCCCTTGGAAAGCGCCGCAAAGGGATTCCATCGGAAAGCCTCACAACAGGTGGGAAGCACCACGAAAGATTCTATTGGAACGCCTCATAGCAGGAATCTCTTCGACATCGGAACAACCGGATTCTATTGGAAAGCCTCACAGCAGGGATCCTCTGAAAAGCACAACAAGGGGCTTGTATTGGAAAGCCTCACGCGCCACAAGGGGATCCCATTGGAAAACCTCACAGCAGGGATCCTCTGGAAAGCACCACAAAGGAATTATATTGGAAAACCTCACAACAGGAATCCCTTGGAAAACGCCACAAAAGGATTTCATTGGGAAGCCTCACAGCAGGACTCCTTTGGGAAGCACCGCCAAGGGATTTTATTGGAAAGGATCACAACAGGAATCTTTTGGAAATCGCAACAAACGGATTCTATTGGAACGCCTCACAGCATGGATCCGCTGGAAAGCACCACAAAAATGATTCTTTTTGAAAGCCTTACAACAGGAATCCTTCGGAAAGCGCCAAGCGCCACAAAGTGATTCTATTGGAAAGCCTCACACAATATTCCTTTGGAAAGCACAACGAAGGGATTCTATGGAAAAGCCTCACAACAGTAATCCACTGGAAAGCGCCACAAGGGGTTCTATTGGAAAGCCTCACACTCGGAATCCTCTGGGCGGTTTGCGCGCTTTCACTAAGCATCCTTCTTTGGAGGCCGATCGAAACCGAAAACTGATCAGAAAGCAAAGAAAACAAGAAACCAACAACAAAAAACAACACAAAAAAACACTAACAACCACCAAATTTTCGAATCTTATCCGGCGGTCGACCACGGAATTCTATCTGGAAGGTTTTTTTTGGGAGGGGGAAAGCCTCACAGCAGGAATCCGTTGGGAAGCACCACGAAGGGTTCTATTGGAAAGCCTCACAACAGGAATCTTTTGGAAATCGCAACAAAGGGATTTTACTGGAAAGCCTCACAGCAGGGATCCTCTGGAAAACACCACAAAAAGATTCTATGTGAAAGCCTTGCAACAGGAATCTTTTGGACGGAAAGCGCCACAAGGGATTCTATTGGAAAGCCTCACAATCGGAATCCTTTGGGAAGTACAACGGAGGGATTCTATTGGAAAACCTCACAACAGGAATCCGTTGGAAAGCGCTACAAAGGGATTCTATGGGAAAGCCTCACATTCGGAATCCTTTCGGAAGCACTACGAAGGGTTCTATTGGAAAGCCTCACAACAGGAATCTTTTGGAAATCGCAACAAAAGGACTCTATTGGAAAGCCTCACAGCAGGGATCCTCTGGACAGCACAACAACGAGATTCTATTTGAAAACCTTACAACAGGAATCCTTTGGACGGAAAGCGTCACAAGGGATTCTATTGGAAAGCCTCACAATCGGAATCCTTTGGAAAAGCAGCGAAGCCACTTGGGCGGTTTGCGCGTTTTCAACGAGCATCCTTCTTTGGAGGCCGAACGAAACCGAAAACGGATCAGAAAACCAAAAAAACACCAAAATCCCAAAATAAAAAAACACCCCCAAAACACTAACAAAAACCAAGCTTTCGAATCTTATCCGGCGGTAGACCACGGAATTCTATCTGGAAGGTTTTTGATTGTGTTTTTTTTGTTTTTGGAAAGCCTCACAGCAGGAATCCTTTGGGAAGCACCACGAAGGGATTCTATTGGAAAGCCTCACAGCAGGAATCTTTTGGAAATCGCAACAAAGGGATTTTACTGGAAAGCCTCACAATCGGAATCCTTTGGAAAAGCGACGTAGCCACCATTGCGTGCTGGTAACAAAAAAAACTGCCAAACCGCCCAGGCCTGCATTGGGTCTGCTTCGGGAGGAGGAGGAGGAGGAAGAAGAGGAGGAGGAGGAGGAGGAGGAGGAGGGAGGGTGGGCGAGGGGGGAGGACAAATGAGAAGCACAGAGCAAGGGAGAGGAAACACCGCGCCGGCGACTTGTTTGCTTTGCGCATCCTCCCCAGGGGCCGCGCGCCGCACGCCGTGCCCCCCGCAGAGGCGCCCGCGCCGTGCCCCCCTGCACAGGGCGCGTGCCTCCGTCGCGCGTGCCTTCGGCACCCAGCGCGTCGCAGCGCACCCGCGGTCGTCCTGGTGGTGGTGGTGGTGGTGGTGGTGGTCGCCGTCGTCATCATCGTTATCATCATCATCATCATCATCATCATCATCATCATCATCATCATCATCATCATCATCATCATCATCATCATCATCATCATCATCATCATCAGTCCTCCGTCCTGCTGGTGCTCTTGTTCATCATGCGTCATCCCCCTCCTCTTCCCTGTCCTCGCCATCGTCGTCCGCCTCCACCTCCTCTTCCCTCCTCCTCCTCCTCCTCCTCCTCCTCCTCCTCCTCGACCTCCCTCTTCCGCGCCTCGCTCTTGCCTTGTCTCCCTCCTCCCTCCCTCCTTCCTGCTCTTCCCTCTTCATCCTCCACGTTCCTCTCACCTCTGCCTCCCCCTCCTCTTCCTCCTCCTCCACCTCCTCCTCCTCCCCATCCTCCTCCTCCTCCACCTCCTCCTCCTCCTCCTCCTCCTCCTCCTCTTTCTCCTCATCCTCCACCCTTTCTCCAAGAACCCAGCGCCCATCCCCCGGGGCGGCCGCTCACTGGCCGCCCGCGCCGGCGCCGTCCTGGCGGACCTGCCCCGCCGCGGCGTGGAGCTGCGCCTGCAGGAAGCTCCGCGGCGCGGAGTTCGCGCCGCCGTGGCGCGACGCGGGCAGGCCCTGCAGGACCCGCGCCTCCGTGGCGTGGAGCTGCTGGGCCACGCTCTGGGCCACCCCTTCCATGGCCCGCTCAGCGCCGGCGGCGGCCGCCTCCTCCAGGCGCACGGCCTCGCAGCTCAGCCTGCGGTCGAGCTCCGCCAGCTCGGCCCGCAGCGTGCACAGCCGCGCGTCGGAGGCGGCCCGCAGCTCGGCCAGGTCGGACCGCAGCGCGTCGTCGCGGGCCAGGCCCGCGATCCGCTCCTGGAGGGCCTCCGCCTGCTGGGCCGCCACCGAAGCCCGCGCCTCCGTGGCCTCGCCGGCCACGCGCCGCACGGCCTCGGCCACACGCCGCACGGCCTCGGCCACGCGCGCCTCCTCGGCGCGCAGCTCCCGGCCGTCCTCCGCGCCGTAGGCGGCGACCTCCCGCCGCACGCGGGCCTCGTGGTCAGCCAGGGCCTCCGCGACCTGCTGGCGGAGCGCCGACATCTGGTGGTCGGCGCAGGCCAGCGCGGCGTCCCGTGCTTCCTGCTGGATGAGGCCCCTGGTCTCGCCGGTGGCAAGCTCCCGGGCCATCTCAGAGCGAAGGTGCAGCAGCAGCCAGCGGGCCTGCGCCACCCGCTCGAGCACTGCCTGGCCGGCGGCGGGCACGTTGGAGGTCTGCTCCAGACCCACAGCTGCGAGGCCAGCGCGCAACTCCTCGCGGGTGGCGTCGTCCAGCGCATGCCGCGCCATCGCCTCGCCGACAGCCCTGGCCTGGGTGGCCCGGGCGCGGAGCTCCTCCGCCACGAGCTGCCTTGTGTGCTCCTCGGCGGGCAAGGCCGCCGCGGCACCTGCATATCCAGGCTGGCCGTGGCCGGGCAACTGCCACGCCCTACTGCCAAAGCCCGGCTCGGCCTCCAGCCGGCTCCAGAACTCGTCCAGCTCCTCCAACAGGCGGCTGCGCGCCTCGCCGACTGCGGCGTCCGCCATCGTGCTCATGGCAGCTCCGCCGGACTCCATCTTCTCCTCGAGCAGGCTGGCGAGCGCAGCGCTGGCGGCCACGAGCCGCCCTTTCAACTCGTCCTGAAGCTCCGCTCCAAACGAGTCGCGGGCCCTCCGCATCGCCGCGCTGGCCGCGCTGGCCAGCTGTCCCGCGACCTGCTCGCCCGCGAGTTCGGCGCGGACGTGGTCGCTGATCCGCTCGCAGGAGCCGTGGACCTTCTCCCCCAGGGCGCGCTCGGCGTCCCGCGCGAGCGCCGCGAGGGCCTCCGCGTGCCGCGAGGCGTCCTCGGCCGCCTCTCCCCGCAGGCCCGCGCACAACTGCGCCGAGGAAGCGGCCAGCTCTGAGATCCCCGCTGTGACCTCCCTCCGCTCTAGGCCCGCGGCCTCCTCCAACAGGCGGCTGCGCGCCTCGCCGACTGCGGCGTCCGCCATAGTGCTCATGGCAGCTCCGCCGGACTCCATCCTCTCGTCGAGCAGGCTGGCGAGCGCAGCGCTGGCGGCCACGAGCCGCCTCTTCAACTCGTCCTGAAGCTCCGCTCCAAACGAGTCGCGGGCCCTCCGCATCGCCGCGCTGGCCTCTGTGGCCAGCTGTCCCGCGACCTGCTCGCCCGCGAGTTCGGCGCGGACGTGGTCGCTGATCCGCTCGCAGGAGTCGTGGACCTTCTCCCCCAGGGCGCGCTCGGCGTCCCGCGCGAGCGCCGCGAGGGCCTCCGCGTGCCGCGAGGCGTCCTCGGCCGCCTCTCCCCGCAGGCCCGCGCACTGCTCCCAGATCCGCGAGGCGACGGTGATGCCCTGCTCTGAGGCGGCCGTCAGCTGCGAGATCCCCGCGGAGACCTCCCCGCGCACCGCGCCGATGGCCTCCCGCAGCTCGGCGAGCTCCTCCCCCGACGCGCCCGCGGCCCGCTCGCCCGGAGGCGGCGCGCTGGCCGCGGCTTCGGCCTCCCGCAGCGCGGCGGCGTCCCGCCTCGCGCTGGCGCCCCACCTCGCCGCCTCTGCCGCGGAGCGCGCCGCGCCCTCCAGGGCGGTGGCGCTCTCGCCCTCCAGGCGGGCGCTCGCCTCCGCGCCCCTCCGCGCCGCGGCCGCCTCCTCCCTCGTGGCGGCGCCCCAGGCCGCCGCCTCCTCCGACAGGAGCCTGGCCGCCTCTGCGCCGCTGCCGTCCAGCCGCTGGCTCGCCAGCCTCTGGGCCTCCCGCACCGACGCGATGGCCTCGCCCTCGGCGTCCTGGATCCTGCCTCGCTGCTCCGCCGCGCAGGCCCGCAACTCGTCCAGCAGCTCGCGCTGGACGGCGCCATGGCCGCCAGCCGCCGCGTCGCAGCCGCCCAGGGTACGCCCCGTCGCGCGGTCGCACTCCTGCGCGGCAGCCTCTAGGGCCGCCTCCACCACGGCGTGCGCAGAGGTGGCCGCGTCGGGCGGCGTGGTGTCCATGATGTGCACGCGGTCGCACCCCTTCGCGGCGGCCTCCAAAGCCTCCAGCCGGCTGCCGAACAGAGCATCGAACCGCGCGGTCGCTCCCGCGGTCGCTGCCTCCACGGCGGACTCCGACTGGCACCGCTGTGCGGCGGCCTGATGCTGTATCTGCTCGCGCGCGTCCGCCAAGGCCTCCAACACTGTGCTCTCGATGGTGTCCACAGCCTCGTCGCGCACCCTCGCATGGTGGCTCTCGGCCACTTCGCGCACATGCTCCAGCAGCAACCGCGCCTCCCTCTCCAGAAGGATGCTGGCTTGCCTCAGCTCAGCCGCGACGGCATCACTGAGGACGCCGTTGCGGCCCTGGCAGGCCTCGGACTGCGCTGGGAGCCGCGCGTCCAGCTCCTCGCGCAGCTCGCGGCGCGCCTCCTGCAGGGCGCCGGCGACCTCCGTCGAAGCCCGCTCGAGCCAAGCCTCGCCGCACGCGTCCACGAGGACTCGCAGCGTGTCCGCGTGCACTGGCTCGGCCGGCGGCGCGCCGCCCGCGCTGCCGCCAGGTGGCGTGATCGCCTCCTGCAGCCGCAGCAGCCGCCCGTCGGTGTCCGCCTGCAACTCCAGCTGCTGGTCGTACACACCGCGCGCCAGCTTCGCGGTGCGGCTCAGCCGAGCCTCCACATCCGCCTGGTGGGTTTCGCCGTCGCGCTGGGCGCGCGCGAGCTCCTCGAGCGCCCGTTCGGTCTCGGAGCGGTGCTCGATGAAATCGGCGTGGTTGGCGATCACCTTCGCCTCCAACCGCCGGAGCCGCTCCAGCAGCGCGTCGCAGTCCCCCTGCTGAGAGGGCGCCCGCTGCACACCGACACCGACTCTCGCCAGGCCCATCTGGGGCCCAGGATCGGCCCGGCCAAGCAGCGCTGCCGGTGCACAGTCGGTACCCCCTCGGGGGCGTCCAAGAGGGGGGCGTCCAAGAGGGGGGTGTGCAACTCATGGCCCGAGGCATGTGCGCGGCCCAGGGGGCGGCAAGGGACGCATTGAAACAAGATGAGGCGACATGAAATCTGGGGAGGCATGATGGCCCCCGCCATGACATCCCCCCCCCTAGTCATCGCACCCGTCTTTGCCGCCCCCGACCCCCCCGAACTGCGGCCTGGATGAGGAGGAGGAGGAGGAGGAGGAGGAGGAGGAGGAGGAGGAGGAGGAGGGGGAGGAGGAGGAGGAGGAGGAGGAGGAGGAGGAGAGGAGGGGGAGGAGGAGGAGGAGGAGGAGGAGGAGGAGGACCTGCGGCCCCGCTCGCTCGCCCGCGCGCTCGCCGCGGCGAGACGAGGCCATGCGGCTGCCGCCGCAGCCTCTCCGGCAGCGCGTCGCAGTGCGCCTGCGGCCCCGCGCTTGGCTGCGCGGCCGCGCCCTGCGCGGCCGCGTCCTGCGCGCTGCCCGCGGCGCGACGGGGGCATCGGGCTGGCGAGGCGCGCCGGGCCGATCAGAGCCCAAACGGCTACGGAGCGGTGTGTCCCCAAGTCGAAGCCAGGGAGCCCGTCGTAGGCGCCGACTCCCCAAGCAATGCTTGCACCGACGGGTTCGTGCTGTGCGGGGGTATGTAGTGAACGGGCCCAGAGGAAGGAAGAGCAAGCGGAAGAGAACGTGGACGAGGAGAGTTGAAAAGAGGAGAAGGAACAAGAGGAGATCTCTTCCTGCGTCCTGGCTCCCTTTCGCCCGACGCATTCTCACAGCACGCATTATGACGGAACCACGTTCCACCCAAGGCGAGTCAGCCTCCACGCTTCTACCTGAAACCCCGCCATACACCTTTGGGCAACTTTTTGGATCCTGTGGTATTCTGGGCGACACTCAGGGGCAATCTCTGGCCTTGCTGAGAAACATTGGGTGAATAGGACCTCTGGAGGTCAGAGGCCCTCCCTTCCTCCCTTCCTCCCTTCCTCCCTCCCCTCCATCCCTTTGTCTTAGGCGTAGTTAGCGCCTCCCTGTCACACGCACCACCAGACGTATCGCTAGGGCGATCCAGGCGTTTCGCCTTGGACCTCCTTACCGATGACCACCTTGAGCGCGGCAGATTCCAACAACTACATGGATGGAGGGCGGGCCGTTCCAAAACATGGGGGTGTCGTCGTTTCTGCGCACGCTCGTCTTGAATCAGTTCGCGAGGCGAGGGATCTCACCGCATGCAGCCACGAACAACGAGAATCTATGGACTGACTTCTCCCCATGGGCAGCGCACCGCGAACGGGATGCACCCTGGGGCAACGCGGATGGGGGCCAACAAGCGTGTGGTGTGCCGCCATGGGGCGCGGCGATGCCGTGCGGACCCTGTCACAAGGGGCCCTCGGGGGATCTCCCTATGGGCCACGGAGCGTGTGAGGGGTGTGCCCACATGGGCGCGGCGGCGCCATGCGGACATCGCAGCTCGGGCCTTCAGTGGAGCTCCCTGTGCCTCCTCATTGTGGGGGTGTGCCAGAATGGCAGGTAACGGCTCGCGAAGGCTTCATTGGATAACTATCGAGCTGCGCAAGAAATCGAACAAGGCTGAAACATAACTTCCGAGATACGCTTGCGCATCGGCAACAATTCAAACACACAATTCGGGCACACCCGGGAAGTGTAAGAAACTCAGAACATCTTGAGACGTGCATTTCGGAACAACCAGAACCTTGCCGACACATTAAGCACATTGACGAGCTGATGCCTCCGGATTCCCTGTCCCCAAGCCCGGGGGAGCCTCTGAGGAACAGGCTGGCGCCCAAACGAAGCCCACTGTGGCCACGGGGGCGACCCGCCCAGCCCCACCCGCCCGCCCCGCGCGCGTGCGGCCCCTCCCGACCCGACTCGCCCGCCAGGGCCCGCTCGGCCCGAGCTGCCCGCCAGGGCCCCGCCCGCCCCGCGCGCGTGCCAGCTCGATGCTGCATCATGCTGGCGTGTCCCGCTCGCCCGGGCCGACCCGACTGCTGGGGCCCGCCCGCCCGACCCACCCCGCCCGCCCTGCACGCGTGCCAGCTCGATGGCGCACCATGCTTCAGTGTCCCACTCGCCCAACCCGACCCGCCTGTCAAGGTCCGCCCTCCCGACCCGACCCGCCCGTCAGAATCTGCCCGCCACGCCCCATTCGCCCCGCGCGCGTGCCAACTCGAGGACGCATCCTGTTTTACTGTCCCGCCCGCCCGACCCGGACCGCCCTTTAGGGCCCGCCCGCGTCGAGGAGGATGGATGAGTAAGGTCCGGCGTTTCCCCGATATCCTGAGCGGGGCTATCTTTCTATGACACCACACCCTGTTCCTGCTCCTGCTCCTGCCCCTCCTCCCCTCCCCCAGGATGCGGAGTTGATTCTCTCGGATCGTGTCGTTCTGATTCCACCGACGACACCAGTATGCCGTTCCAATGCCGCTTGCCTCTCCAGGGCGCCCCTGGCTGATCAGAGATCGCCCCCTTTTCCACTACACCAGCCCCGCCACTACCGCGTTTGCTCCATCAAAGAAGGCCTCGCTGGGCCGCACCCGCTGTGCGGGCACCATGTAACTCATCAAGGGTCGCACCCTTCTCACTCCACCATCCGAACCATTACCATGGTCGCCCCTCTAGAGAAGCCCCTCCAGACTGCGACCGCCATCAGGCAACTTCGTTTCTTAACAAGGCTCGCGCCGCACCCTTCCCGCTCCACCAGCCGCGCCAATACCATTTGCTTGGGCGCACCTCAAAACGTGCCGAACTTGTCGGTCGCCTGAAAAGTTTCCTTCTGTTACCGCGGAAAGCTGCAACACATTGTCAAACTAATGAACAGGCGAGGGAATGACTTGGCGCCGCCACGTAAAACGTGTTAACCCATATCTATACGACCACCCTGGGAGGTTGGGGGGGAGGGGGCCAGCAATGGGCAACTATTCATCTCACTATCGATTCCACTATCGATCTCGCTATCGATCCCACTCGATCGATCTCACTATCGATCGCACTATCGATTTCACGATCGATCTCACTTTAGATCTCACTATCGATCTCTCACTATAGATCTCACTATCGATCTCAGTATCGATCTCAGTATCGATCTCACTATCGATCTCACTATCGATGTCACTGTCGATCTCACCACGGGACACCACGGGACAACGACGGGACACCGGCGGGACACCAGCGGGACACCGGCGGGACACCGCGCGCCACCGGTTGCGAGGCGGAGAACCTTTTGGTCTGGCCGCGGCCCAGCCACGACGGGACACTGGCGGGACACCAGCGGGACACCGGCGGGACACCGCGCGCCACCGGTTGCCAGGCGGAGAACCTTTTGGTCCAGCCGCGGCCCAGCCACATGAGAATTTCCTCTCCCTCGCCCACGCAGCTTCGCCTCGTCTGCACGCACGGCACGAACACGGAACCGAAATCGATTTCCCGGTAGGGGGGCTCTCCGTTCCACTTCGATCTCACCCCCCAACCTCCGACTTATTAACCCATACTTGTCGTCGGCAGAGGTCGAGAATTGTGAGATGCCACCCTTGCGGCAGAAGAGACCCTCAACAGCTTCGCAGTCGCGATGGGGGCCCCGATGAGGGGTCAGGATGCGGGTCCACAATGGGGGATCGGGACAGGGCTAGGAATAAAGGGCTAGTGCTGTGTGAATCTGGGCGGGAATCTAGGATAGGAGGAGGAGGAGGAGGAGGAGGAGGAGGAGGAGGAGGAGGAGGAAGAGGAAGAGGAAGAGCATGGATAAGGAGTGGGGGATGAGGGCGGCAATGGAAGGACACGAGAGGAAGCGGGAGAGAACGGGAAGCAACGTCGCCCCGCCCGACTCCGGCTCCAGCAGCCCACAGGCGAGCTTCTTGTACACACAGATGTATACATATATACAGATGTAATATACACAGGCGTATATTTGTGCATATATATATACATATATATGTGGAACCTAGCAGGCAAACTGTTCAAGGACAACTCGGTTAGACATAACAATCAATAACGTTTCGGGATGTGCCGAAAGTGGGGCACGCTAAGAACAGTTGGGGAACTAACCTTTCGGAGGGGTCCGGGCCAGATCTCGAACTTTCCTGAAGAGTAACTTTCGGGGAGGCCGAGGGATGGACAAACACTGAACATCATTCAATATCTGTTGAAGAGAAGTTCGAAACACTTACTTTTCGGCGGACCAGAAAGTTTGACAAACTTGGAAACATCACTTTCGAAAACTGGGCCCCCAGGGGTGCCAACTTTCCGAAAGTCGTCGCGAGCCGTATCTTCAAAACGGGCGCGGCGACAATGCGGACACATCCACTGGGGCTATTGGTGGAGCTTCCTATGGGGCCACTGAGCGTGTGAGGTGCATGCCGCGCGCGGAGGGCAGAGGCAGGACGGGACGAAGGAGGATACTCGCGCGCTGCTGATGCAAAGCGAGGACCCCAATCAGACAGGACGGGTCAACTGCAACTGCATGGATGCAGGGTGACTCATTTTTCTGAACGAGAACCTCGCCTTGGCTTCGCGCACACTCATGTTAAGATATCAAACAATTGCAAGGATGGAGGGCCGGCTGTTTTCAAAATGGGGCCCTGGCCTTGGCGCCGCGCGCACTCATCTTAAACATATCGTTGCCCACCAGTTGCAGAGATGGATGGCGAGTCGTTTTCACAATGGGGATCTCGGCATAGCGCCGCGCGCACCCGTCTTGAGAGACAAGCAGCACTTACGGGGATGCAGGGCGGCTCCTTTTCAAAATGGGGCTCCCGCCTGAGAAGTCCTCAGCGTGTACGAATGGAGTGCGGTTCTTTTCAACATCGGGATCTCATTTGAGATGTAGGTAGAACGTATGACCAAAACAAAAATCCCAAGAGTAGTTGCGCAGATGGAGGCCGTCCCTTTTCAGAAAGGGGCCGTCGATGGGTACTTCCTTGAACATTATGGCTCCACGTTGCCGCCGTCTATCACATTGAGGGTACAATGATGGGGGGACTTGGGCGGGACGGCGTGTTGCTATACTGTTGATACATCGTGAGTTTACCCTGGTCCTCCTACTCCCCCTCCCCCTCCTCCCCCTGCCCCTTCCCCTCCCCCTCCTCCCCCTCCTCCCCCCCCCCCCTCCTCCTCCTCCTCCTCCTCCTCCTCCTCCTCCTCCTCCTCCTCCTCCTCCTCCTCCTCCTCCTCCTCCTTCCCCCTCCCCCTCCTCCCCCTCCTCCTCCTTCTCCTCCTCCGCCGCGATCTTCCGCGAAGCCCCGAGGAAACGTCTCCTGGGCTGGCCCAGCCCAGTCCTGGCCCTAGCCCCCGCGGGGAAGCGCGCGACTGTCTCCTGCGCAGTCTCTGCGCCGCCCACGTGGAGGGCGACGCCGACTTCCTCTCAGCGATGGGCGGGAGTGAGGGAGGG